CACATGTCATATAATCATGATTCTAGTTGTCTTTGAACTCTAAGACATGCATCTAAGATTCTTATGAAGACACTGAAAACAAATAGGGTTAATTGCCAATAAAACCTTGACCTTTTCACTTTTGGCAATTTAATCCAAACTTCTAGATAAATGCAAAATAATCTCAGCCTTGTATTACTTTTGCAAAATGGACTTAAAACCCACTTCTAACAAAGCAATGTCCGCCGGATCTCAGCCTTGTCCGACGGGTTTTAAGTCCATTTTGCAAAAGTAATACAAGGCTGAGATTATTTTGCATTTATCTAGAAGTTTGGATTAAATTGCCAAAAGTGAAAAGGTCAAAGTTTTATTGGCAATTAACCCAAACAAATAAGGTCATTTACCAGGAGATTATTCAACAAACATTCATAACAAGGTTGCAGTCAGAAAACCAAAATTTCACACATACAGAGCTTCAGTAATTGTCACATAACTCATGCTCCAGAACTCCAAATGACATGATTCAAAACCCAACTCATAACAAAGAAGTAAAGCTACAACATTCATGAAGACGAGAATGGCAAATAAGTGCATTTGCTTAAAGATTATTCAACATGCATTCGAAACATGATTGCAGGCCGAGAACAAAATTATACATCCTACAGAGCCTTAGTAAAACTAGAAGATCTCATGCTACATAAATGTTTTTGACTTGATTGAAGAACTACAAGGCAGCTAACACATAAGGCAACATATTTCATGAAAACCACTTTCACATTTGAGCACATTCAAACATCGAAAACAGGTCAAACATTTAATATAAACATGCTGCCGGGTTTACAAAAAACTGCTTCCACAATCTTTTTGTAAGAATCATAACTCACACAATTTAAATCGGATTTCCAAAATTCCAAATCCCACAGAAAGCTAATAGAATAAGCTACAATACATATAAAGAACATAACTTAAAATAACGAATTCTCTCTGGTCATATCAGAGGCACACCAGAGACAGTGTAATTGTGATAATTCATGCAATCTCAATAAAAACATCATTAAACTAGTCTCCATATCATAAGCAACTCATTCAATCATGAAAGCCGCAATTTGAGCACTTTAAATCATCATAATCCCACATGAACACAATAATAAAGAGATTTGAGCCACTTAACATGATTCAACATGATCTCAACACAATTAAATCAAGGCTCAACACACAACACATATTAATGTCAAATCCTATTCATGCAACTAAGCCATGTACCACCTCAAATCGCTAAAACACATAATAACGGAAAGGGTATTGAGCCGCCATGTACCTT